TGTTTAAACACACACACACACACACTGGCAGCAGGAGAAAGAGACTCAGTAGAAGGGTTAGAGTCCAGGTAGGGAAGAGAAGCAGAATTCAAGTCCTTGGTTGAAGATGGGGTTGGGGGTGATAGCTACCTATCCAGGCTGGAAAGGGGTCCTTGTCCAGCAGGTGTTGTCCAGAGGAGGGTTGCTGGCAGGGCCTCTGGGTGGATAGGTGGTATGGCATGGTGCGGTCCAGATGGAGAGGGTGTCCCAAGGGCGTCTTCACTACCCATGTTTATGGGGCAGACTACCTCTGATCTCCTATGGGGAGGGCCTGTCCAGGTAATGTCAGTCCTGTCCCAGAGGGTTCCAGGTGTTCTTACTGAGCATGTGCAGCCTTGGCACAATGGTGTGTTGCCTCATCTTCTGTTTCTTGAATGCTGAGGGTGGTTCCAAGGACTGGGTCGTTGGTCCGGGTATTGGTGTTGATGGTTCGGTCATTCAGAGGGAGCTATTTTTAGACCTACTGCCATTGTCTCTCAAGCACCCGCATTCATCTCCATTCATTCAGGAACCAAGTTACATAGGAGGGGTAGGTATGAGTCATGGGTCAGGGGACACAACATGCAGGCTTGACATTACAAGATGGAAACTTGATATGACTTATGCAAACTTACATATGTAGGCCTAAAGCAGTAATCACACAATATAAACGCAGTAAAAAATCAATACAAACATAATAATTATCACTTATAAAACAGTGGATATCTATATCAAAATAGCAGGGCACTTATTTGCAAAGAGGGGAGAGAAAAATAAAACTTACTACCTAAAATAAAATGTTAAAGCTTATCCTACATCTTAGCTTACTTATACTTATCTATAGGGAATAGAAAGGGAAAGAAAAAGTCAGAAATGGTTGGGGAAGGGGAGGGAATGCATTTTAAAATAAAAAAAAACCAAAATGTGGGTTTTGCAACATCACTACAGAGAAAAAACATTAATAGGAGTAAAAAAGACAAACAAAAAAACTCTGACAACTTCTTCCACACTTTGATTCCATAAAAAATCAAATGTGGGCACCAAATATGGTACACCTTGTCTAATTTGCTTTTTATGGAAACACCTGGGGTACAGTTGTGCCTCAGAGTGGGAATGAGGAACTATAGCAGTCTAGTCCTGCTTTTGGCACTTGGCCCCAGCTATATTGTTTGGCAATTTCTGTCACCTCTTTGCTGTTTCTTCTGTAAATGGGGGTAATATTACTGGCCTCGAAGGGGTATTTGGCATATTAATAAAGTAATATTGGTACAGGTAGATAAGATTAAAAGAGCCATAAATGCTATTAATAATAAAGAATTAGTAATAATAATGACCTTGATACCAGTCTACTTCTACCCACTGAAATTTTCCTTTTGAGTAAGATAAGGAAGTTCATGAACCATGACCCTCTTGCTAGATATATAGTAAAATGTCATGTGTGAAAGAAAATATGATGCCAATGAAATTCTTCTTAAAACAAGGTGGGTGCGTCTATACGTGAATTAATGCACCTTTTCTAATGAGCATTAAATTTAGTACCTCCAATGTTATGCCTAATGTGCAGTAGATTATCTTACTGCACATTAGCATAATGTTAACTTTTTTTTTACATCTACTGCACATTAAAGTGCACATATAGATGCACATGGTGTCTCAAAAATATCCCATCAGCTCTGTATTAAGCTTAGTAAAGGGTGCAGAGCATTTGATTTTGACTTAGAAAATATCAAAACCTTTTAGAAATTTCTCAGACACAGCAAGTATAGTAAAATGCTAGGCTGTGATTCCATCAAGGAAGAGCACACACCAACTGCTGAAACTTCTTTAGCCTGACGAAGGGTTTTTGAACTCGAAAGCTTGCTTAATAACTATTCTCCAACTTTTTGGGTTGGTCTAATAAAATATATCAAATTCACCCAAGGAACCTTGTCAGGCTGTGATATCTACATTTCTGGCCTGCTTAAAATTACACTTTCACTGAAAAGTATGTACCAAGATATAGCCATTGTTATAGCAAGTATCTAGCAACTTCTAGCAGACTATACTAAATACTATAGCAAGTATCTATGTAACAACTTCCAACAGACTTTGAAATATTGGATTCTGGACTTCTCTGAATAAAAATAGCTGTTATCGCAAGACTTAATTCAACCAATCCTGAAACTCTAAAAGGACCATTTTGGGGCATATTCCACATAATGAGGATAAGAACAGTCTGGTCCATTTTTCCCCCAGTGATACGTAGTTTGAGTAGCAAAGGTATTTGGAATTAGGGATTAATGTACAGAAAGGCAAGTGAGGTGATTATTTGTCACATGGCTCTGTGAGATATCAAAAGAGATCACATGTACATGGGTGGTGTGTATTCTGTCTGTGTGTACCAGTATTTGATATGCCACTGCTTAGTAACCCTAAGTGCATGGAACAGGAGAAAAGCTACACATTCAGAGATCTCTGTGACAAATTATGCTCCTTCTAAGTAAAGTATACCATCTTGTGCTGCTGCTTGCTGGTTTGAAAATTACTTACTACAAATGCAATTCTTCATAGAACTTTGAGTGCATATTTTTTATGTACAAGGTTTTCTGCCAGTGTGCAAGAGGCTATGTTCTGTAGACTCTGCCCTCTATTTTTTTTCCAAAATTCAGGCCCATTTGAGTGCAGTTACTATTCTCTTGCTCCCCTCTGCAGCACATCATAAAGGGGAGCTTAGGTCCTAATGTAGCTTCATTACTGTTATTTGCATAATGCCTGCAGCATAAACATCAGGCACTGTCAAGCAGAGCCAACAATACTAATTCAAAATTCAGAAAGTGAACAACCTAGGGTTTCATGCTAGTAAGATTGAAAATACACAAGCTACAGCTAGTGCTAGAAAATGTTGCTTCAACCTAAATAGTTGAATGTGCATTCTTCCTGCTTTATTGGTGTATGCACAATACACGGGCTTGTATAAGTATGACAAATAATAATGTCAGTTTGAGTGCATTCTTTCAACAGGCACAATTTTCATACAAGCTGATATAGTCATATTGGGAATCACTATTAGGAATATTGACTTTGAGTCTATTGTTTGATTGTCTCAGGTGTTTTATAGTACTGTTTGCTAAAAAGCTACTTCTCCTCTTCTCCTTCTCTCACATACGAAGAGGCATAATGATCATTTCTTCTCTTCACAGCTCCACTGGCTCCCCGTTCTGTTTTTATGCTTTATGTGGACTCATCGGCTGTATATGATCATCATCTGCTGTCCTCCTCTCTCCCTTCAGCTAGCACTCACTTGTTTCTCTTTTTCCTAACAATCTAGGCAGTTCTAAAAAAAGTTTTTCTCTTTGCAGCTCCTTTCACATGGAACAGCCTTCCTATATCTGATCTGTCCATTTCATAGATGGTCTCTTTTCAAATCTCATTTTTTGCCCCTGTCAAACGCAGCAGTTTGACTCTTCTCCTGGTGCTTATTATCTAACAGTCATTTCATTTTTTATTCACAAAAAGTATTTGGGGACACAGTTTCTATGAAATATACTGTAGAAGATAAAAGCTACCGTTTGCTGTATTGCTGAGTGGCTTTCATTGTTTGGATTGCTCATACTCAGCCCTGAAGAACAAGAGAACCACCTGATCGTCAAATGCACTTCAGAGGGCAAGATGCTGCAGTTTGATATTTGTGCTGCATCATTGCACCATGGCCTTGCCACATACTGCTGCAGTGTCTTGAAGCAAATATCAGAACACTTCTCTAAATGATGATTAGCGTGAGATCTGGTAGTTCCCTGAATTCATTCAATCTACCTTAAGGTTTAAAAGGACAAAGGTGTATCTTATTGCTTTTCTGTTTTCCTGCTTGCTTAAGGAAAAGGGTATTTCTCCTGCTTCTTTCCTGGCTACTTGAAGGGGATGGACAATAATCCCAGCAACCTCTTTGTGCTTGATCACTGCCACCCAAATTTACCTCACATGTGCCAGCTATTGTGAAGTATACCTTTATGGCTGATACTTTGCATTTTCTATCTGAATCTCATTATAAAAAACAGATCCCTGGCCTTCACCAGGTCCTCATTCAGGGAGTCAGAGCACCGTCTAGTACTACAATGTGTGTGTGTTGGAGGTGGGGGGGGGTTGTTCTTGGTTTGTAAGCTTTTGTAAGCAGAGAGCTTACTTCATCAGAAGTAAATTACTTCATCTGATGAAGCAAGTCCTCTGCTTATGAAACCTGGTGCTATACAGCTCTGATTTAATTAGCTGGTAAGGTACAAATCTACCCTGCCCTCTCCCTGACTTCAGACTAAGAGACCTAATTATCTGTCTTTGTTCTTGGTTTGTCACTGGAATGTATACTTGGTTTTATACTGTACTTTAGTCATGTAAATATAATGCCCTGTAATGACACATATACCTCTGTCTAGGTTATACTGTCTATAGAAGAAGGTTACAGGCTTCCGGCTCCCATGGGTTGCCCAGCTTCCCTTCACCAGCTGATGCTTCACTGCTGGCAGAAAGAGAGAAACCACCGGCCAAAGTTCAGTGATATCGTCAGCTTCCTAGACAAACTGATCCGCAATCCAAGCACCCTTCATACCCTAGTGGAGGATGTACTTGTGTAAGACTCACTCTCTCCTTACACAATCATAATGGTTACCATCAGTTAAAATACCAGATTAGGTGGGGTGGAAAAATCTTGCAAAGTTCTGCACAGGTGCTAAAAATAAATTGAAGCTCTTATAAGGTGATTTTTATTATTAAAAGATCACAAACAAAAAATTCCCCCCACCCAAAAGCATATGGATTACATTCCTAGTCATTTTTCTTTTCTTTGTCTGCCATTTTTATCTGTTTCCTTTGTTTGTTCTCTTGTCTGTTTGTTCACTTTTTGTTGTACACACGTTTTCCCTCTGTAAATTTCTTCTTTGTCTTCAGTGCCTTTGAAATTGCAGACAACGCATGATCAGTTTGTGAACTGTCTTGGTTTACTTTCCTGCAGCATGTATATACCCCAGGCCTGCTGAGCTACATTCACCGCAGTGGAAAAAAGATGATGATATACAAAATAATGGCACTATCACTCCACAACATATTCCTTGAGGTGTTATCAGAAGCTTCCTCCCCCAGCTCAAAGTAATGTTGTAGAAATTAATGGAGCAGTAGGTGCAGAGCCATGGAAGGAGTGATTGTTAGTGTAGTTACCCATTGTCATGCCAGGCATAAGGTGAAATAAGTGATGTTACATCAGTGATGATTTTGGCCCAGGGGGCTCATTAAGAGCAAAAATCACTGCAGTGCAAAGAGCCTTCTGTAGCTTTTAACCCTACAATGAGGTTCTGAAAGGTCAGAGAGGTAAAGTAAAGGCTATGCCTGGTGATTTATCATGGGTGACTGGAGGTAGGGATGTAGGCTATGTAGTCACCAGAGGCTTGTATGACATTTAGGACTGCTTTGTGTCCTTGGGCTAGAGTTAGTGTGGGAGAGTTAGTGGCCCTTTGCTAAGGAAGGCTAGGTTTGGAACAATTTGGCATATCTGGATTAGAGCTAAGGGTAGATTTGGAGCTTGTGGATAGCCCTTGACTACATTCTAAGATTAGTGTCAGAGTTAAGACAGTATAGAATTATTAGTCCATTGTGAGCAGATCCAGTCACTGAGTCCTATGTGTTTCCAAGCCAACTAAGCCTGGGTAGAATGCAGTCACTGTTTCTAACTGTGGGGCTGGAAGTCACACTCCCAGACACAGAGCTGTGTCTGAGGCTTTCCTTGGGATATCGGATGCTGCCATCCAGTCATCCTAGATCTTGAAACCAGTATGAGACCTCCTAAGACTCCAGCTTGCTTAGGCATATTCCACTAGAATTCCACCTGTGTTGTAGACGTGCCAAGCTTACTTATTTAGCCCCCACTGAAGTCAGTGTGTTAGAAAAGTGAGGAACCAAGCCATGGTACAGGAATTTTTTAACCATGTTGATTTTAGTCATACAGCATCTTTGAAAACAATAAAGGTCTTGAGCTGCATGCTCACCTACTCTGCTCTTACCTCTCTTGTGAGTCCATGGTTCATCAGCATTTGAGGTTTGGTAGAGTTCATACTGCATTCTATGTCCTGTAAGCTCTGCTTACATATAGCAATGATCACCCCTTAGCACAGAGCAGAATCCTTTATACATACAACATTTTTGCCCTTCCTTGCACTGCCACTGTGTGACTGTTTGCATGAGCGGGTTTTCTGGACATTTTAAAAGTCTTTCTGGTGCATTAACTAAATCTCCTTGGATGTAGTTTAGTTTGGCTCCCCGGGAATTAAAGTGTTGAATCCATGGATTCATTGCATGCAAACACAAAGGCACTTAAAGATGTGTAATGAGTCTCTTTGTCCACCAGATGGCACTGCAACTTTTTTGTAGTTCACTCCCTTGAATTGCTTTTGCTTTTGAATTGTTTCCGCTTTAATTTTGCTTGTGCAGTTTGCCAGCTCCCTGCTTCCACAGCTGCGTGGCGAGGCATGAGCACAGGGTGGGTAGCAGGCCCCAGGCCGGGCGGCAGTGCTGGACCATCCTGGTCTCCTGTGGCACCAGCTGGGGACCGGGCTTAATTTGTTGGAAAACCTAGTGCGTGTATACACAGATGCAACGCTCCAGGGCTTAATTTGTTCAAAAACCTAGTGCATGCAAACACAGATGCAATGCTCCAAAATAAACAAGTTTAAATTTTATAAACCTATTTAATTTATTCATAGATTCATAGATGTAGGGACCTTGTAGATCTTCTAGTCCGACCCCCTGCCATGGGCAGGAGAGAAAACTGGGCTCAAATGACCCCAGCCAGGTAAACGTTGAGCCTCCTCTTAAAGACCTCCAGGGTAGGAGCCATCACCACTTCCCTTGGAAGCTGGTTCCAGATCCTAGCTGCCCTGACTATGAAGTAGTGCCTTCTAATGTCTAGTCTAAACCTACTCTCTAGCAACTTATGGCCATGATTTAATAACGATTAAAACCCATGGTGTGTACAGGCACCTGGTCTTAAATAGGACTTCTGTCTCTGAGCCAGGGAAGAAACTCCAGATTTGCTAGTCATGCTTAGTTCCCTTTGTAAGGCCCTGCATTGAAGTACTATTGTTCCATAGGGGTGGGCCAGCAGATAAAAGTCATTCAGAGTTGATAGCCTCAGACTGCTGTTAGTGATGGTCTTTCATCAAGGAATCAAACACTGTTCCAAGGCAGGGCAGCTGTCTGTATTCAGTACAATAAATTGCCTTTGATGAAACAAGTTACCTGTTTAGCACAGTACAACATGATCTTCATAATTTGATGTCTTCATCTCATACTTTTGCACAGCCAGCGTTGAAGGAGGCTTGTTTTGGGTTTAAACAGAAACCTCAAACCACTGCACAGAAATGTAGCAAGGAATCAGCGTCTCATAGTTCAAAGTCTCTGACTGAACTGAGTTCTTACACTATGTATACCAATTGCTCAGGGTGTCTTCAACATTCTTGTGGATTATAATTTTCCAGGAATAGCTCAGGATTTTCTGGTTTGATAACTATATGGCCATCTCAAACTGGTTGCTAATTTATCACAAACATTGTCCTCCGTTGTTTATTTGTCTATATCCCTTAGCCTTGGGATAGACTCAGTGTTAAATGAGTCTAGATACCGCAGCCCCTGAACATGTCCAGAATTCCATGACCTTTCAGCATCTTAGTGCCCCACACACAGGATACATAATCTGTATTTGTACATTGAGGGGTAAGTTTTGCTCCGAGTTGTTAATAGCAGCTGGAATAGTTTTATTTGGCACCAGGGAGTAATTGTTTTATATTTATGTATTTAATATTTTATTTTATTTTATTTATGTATGTTTTAAAACACTGAATTTAGATTGAAAGATTCGTGTCTATTCAGTTGAGCTTTGGTGTTGTGCTTTGGCAGATTTGATTTCTGAATGTATTAGTACTCCTCTCTCTCTGTTTAATGCAGTTAAGCAGCATGGTTATATTTGGTGGCTGTTTTTAACCTATGAAGTCTGTTTTATAAGAAAAGACCCAATAGGCAAAATCCAAACCAGCTATAATTTCAGTGGTGTCAGTAGTATTACCCTAGGGATTCATTTGTCCCAGTCTTGTGTTAAAAATATATTAGTCCAACATCATAAGAAATAAATGTCATTCAAGAATTGATATTGTGTTGAGAACTAATTATCTCCAACTGAAGAGAAAGCAGCATTTTTTAAAAATCAGTTTTACTTGAAGTTTGGGCATACATTAAAATATGGATAGAATTAAAATCTCCCTTATTTCTCCTAGCCCTACCCAATGAATTTGTTGCTTTCTAAAAATGTTGGCATCTTCCATGAAAGATGTTGGCCTGATAATCCTTTCAGTTTTGTTTATTTAAATGTGAAATACCTAGTATTGTAGTATAAACTTTGTGTGAGATGAGATTGGAAATTTAGAGAACCTCAAACACTAGATTAAAATTAACACACACTTTTTAGTATCAAGGACCTCTAGTGTTTGTTCATTTTTAATTGGTTCAAATGGATTTTTAATAGCCACTGCTTTTCTGTTCTTTATTCTCTCTTTCTACCCTCTGGCATCTTTTTTAATGTTGGGATAAAAGTTTAGTTTATCTAATGTATTCTAATACAGATGAATGGAACCTTAGCAGATTAATGTAGCAGGATGGACTGCTTTCTACTTCCTGCTCTTCTTGGGACAGATTCTGCCACCCTTATTGGCACTAATAAAATATTTCTCTATAGATTGCACCATTGCAATCAAAACATGTTCTTTCTTAATCTAGTACTCCAAGGCACTTAAAAATGATCACATGCTTGTTTTACAAAATACATCCTCGAAATGATGTATAAAGGGGGTCTTTACAAAAAAACACCAATGCCGCTAGGTGTTATATGTAGCGAATGATTTCCAGTATTAAAGGGACAATTTCAACTTGAAATCTAGTCAGTTTTCAAAAGCAATAAAAAATAATGTCAGGTTGTTGCACGTGCTCGTGAGTCTCCCCATGTTTGTGGTTTTATGATCAATTTGCCTATTTGATAAAACATTTTTATGTTGCTGAAGTGCTTCTGTATGAGAAAGACACACAGGCAAGGCAAATAACAGATAACACATATGAAACAGTTCCTCTACCCTACACAAAGTGCTGCCAAGTGCATGAAGTCCAGTGGGAGTGGTGAGCAGTCCTCATCCCAAACAGAGAGAAGTATAAGTAAAAACAGAAAAAAATATAGAATATGTTATGGGATTTTTTGTCTTCTTTCTCTCAGTTTTAGTTCAACAATAGTAGGTAAAAAGAAAGGGCTAATTAAGTTAGTTGTATCCTTTTATTTTGCTTACTTCTATAATCACATGAAAACAAGGGTATTAAATATAGTTTTTATTCCCATTTTAAGTTTAGTATTGCTGCTGTTAGATTGCACCACTGCAATCTAAAGCATTAGAAATTTAGAAAGCATTTCTATTGCTTAATGTGGCAATAAACAGCCATTCCCTTTTTTAGCAATTTTCTGTATAGATAAATATGAAAGTTATTACCTAGCCAGGGTATTAATACTTTTGCATTCTATCTGTGCTCTTTTCCCATAATATCCAAAGTTAAATCATCCTCTTATTCTCTCTGACTGGCTTTATTGAGTTAGCAAATTATGGTATCATCTTCATCCTGTAAGTGTAAGTTCTTCAGAGAAATACTCTGTCTTTATATTTAAAAATAATAACAACATGGATAGGACCATTTTTGAGCTTCAAAAGCAAATGAAGCTCCCATTGAGGTCATTGGTTTTTAGAAGTAGTATCAAAAATAACTTTGCATGCTAAAATGTGACTCGTACATTTTAGAGAGTAGGCCAAAATCAAAGTGCAAGATCTGGTGGGGTTTTCTGAAACTCTAAAGAATTTCAGTCCTGAATCTGAGCTGTCTAGCTTGGGTTCTTTACTTAGTCCAGCTGTCTCTTTAGTACAAAAAATAGCTCTAGTAAATTAAATCTGACATTACTTTTATATTTCTTTACAACTTTTTACATTTTCTTTCCGTAGAATGCCAGATTCACCTGGTGAAGTTCCAGAATATCCTTTGTTTGTTTCAGTCAGTGATTGGCTGGACTCAATAAAAATGGGTCAGTATAAGAATAACTTCATGGCAGCAGGTTTCACAACTTTGGATATGGTTTCAAGAATGAGTATTGAGTAAGTATGTACATGACTCTCTCTACAGTGAGTAAACTACAATTGGTCAAAATGCTGCTGTGATAGAGCTTATATAAGTACTAAGGCATGAAACAGAAGTATGTTTTAACTTTTCTACTGCAGTTAATAAAAGAAAAACATAATTTTAAACAACACATGAAGAGGAAGGACAAGATTGCAGTCAAGGAAGACAGAAGATCTGGTGTCAGTTCCTGGCTCTGCCTCATGCTTTCTGTGTCACCACAGAAGTCTGTGAGACAATTCACATGCTTAAGCTGTCTTGAATAGGGAACCTGGTGAACTCAGTGTGAAAAATGTTGTCTATTCTTCTGTCAGTAGGATATACTGTAGTGCAAGTTAGTCACATATTTGTTGTTGTTGTTGTTCTGTGCACTGCCAAATGCATTGTTGGCACTCAGTGCTTGATCCTACTCCATTTAAGTTAACCGGAGCTTTGCCATTGATTTCAGTGGGTGCAGGAGCATGCCTTTAATGACTGATAATGACTGTTGCTATTGGTTTCTGATTTTCGATTTTGCCATGCAAGAAGTATGTAACATGTCTGGAATATAAAGTAGCCATATCCTATTCAGTTGTATAATATATTCAGTTGCCAGATGACAGGAGGCTGGTGCTGCCAGCTGGGGCCAGTGGCAACACTGATATTCCCAGGGCTGGGTGCAGGGTGCACCCAGCGCTATCCCAGGCGGCAGGAGCAGCCTCCTGTTATCCGGCAGGTAGATGGGGACCCACACCACTGGGAGGAGTCCGGCACAGCCCCGCAGCCCTCCTGGGGGTGTGGGCAGGCCCCTGATCTGCCTGCTGGATGATAGGAGGCTGCCGGCTTGGACCAGCGCTGAATCCATGTAAGCCTGGCTTCGAAACTTGAAATGTCTCAAAACTTTCAAAACTTTTCAAGTGCCCTTGTTTTGTTTTGAAGCTATTTTGAAGGCTTTTGTTTGGTTTCAGTTTCACTGTTTCAAGCTCAAATCACATTGAAGCAGCTTCAAAACGAAATACCTGGCAAAATTTCACACAGCCCTAGTGAATATATGTTCTGTTCACTACCAATCTAAACTATGCCACTTAGAGAAAACTGTGTAATTTACATTGATTCCACCTCAGGCTTTTTGAATGTCTGTACATAGCCTAAAAGGTCAAATATCATTCCTCCTATATGCGCACACACACACACACACACACACACACACACACACACACACACACACACACACACACACACACACACAGAGTCTCCTAGTGCAAATCTAGGAAGCTCTACTGTACCCAAAGCACTGAAAGTGCAACAGCAGCCACTTCAGTCTCTAAGCCACAACATGGAAACGTGAAGCAGCTCTGCTTGCCTCTGCAGCATGGATGGGAAGAATTGCTTCCCCCTCACAACCGTGGGATTGCCCCTTTTCCCTGACTGCTGCTCTGGAATTTCTTTGGAGCTGGGGAGAAAGATTTAACTTTAAATTGTGTGGGCAAATACCAGTGTCACAGACACAACATTATTTTTTCCTAAATGGCTGTCTGCACTAACAGACAGGGGGCACATGTGCCTTGGAAAGCTTGAAAATGTGCAGTATTCTTGCATATTCCAGCTGAGAAATGAAAACATTTCTGAAGAACTCTGCTAGGTGCTCAGCCTCGGGAGCAGTACTAAAGGCTTGGCTCTTCATACATTCAGGATGAATCTTGCATTTTTTCTCTTTACAGTGACATTAGAAGAATTGGAGTTGTGCTTATTGGACACCAGAGACGAATAGTGAGCAGTTTACAGACTTTACGATTGCACATGATGCACATACAGGAGAAAGGATTTCATGTATGAAAGTACTAGAAGCAACTGTGTTTTGTGCCTCAGCATTTCTAAAATGGAAAATATTCTCATCCCTCCCTTCAGCTCCTTCCAGTTTCCAGAACTGCAGTCTCCTGTTCAGACTATAAACATACTTTTATTTTAATGCTTCCAGCCTGGAATTTTTAACCACACTGCATAGATCCTCCATCAGTTACCTGCCAATGAAATCCTGGCCCACTGCAAGACTGTTGCTACACACTGGTGAATAACTCAGCATGGATGTGTAACTTTGTATAACAGTATTTGGGAAACTTTCATGGATTTCTTTGATAGTAGCAGCCTATTTGGCCTGGTGTGGCTTCTTTATTGATGTATTTAGAGTGTGATGGTAGATCAAAAAGTATTTGACTTCTTTCATGTTCTGTGATCATGTAACTTCCAATATCAAATGTGCAATCAAAGAAGTTTGACATAAATATTTATTTTATCCCTTAACTAAATCCAAATATATGGGTCCTATTATTACCTTACTTTGTAATAATGCTGGTAAGCTGGTACCTGAAATATGTTAGAATTCTTTGCAGAAGTGACCAAGTTCCTGTAGTGATTTCTCATTGCCTGCATAATTGAGAAAGGGGTTAGAAAGCATTGTTTTAAAATTTCTTGAGGCCCTGAATTTAAATGTATTTCTATTATCACTCAACATTCTTTTATCTTTCATAAAATTGCAACATTCATTCATTCTGAGGATTTTTCACCCTTTTTTTGCCCTTTTTAATACTCAGTATTTGTCTCTATCACATGGTAGATTACTCCCGGAAAGCTATTGTAACAATTCCTTAACCACATATAATTAGAGATCTACCCAACTCAAGGCAGTGGCCATCTGATTTCGCAGGCAGATCATGGGGCCAGCTGCTATGCTATTTTCATGGATTTATTGTGGCTGCCCCCCCCGCGCCCCTACCTCTGATTGGCCAAGGGGCCCTGGTGGCCCTGCCCCCTGTTGCTGATTGGTGGAGGGGGCTGTTTATCATGTGGCCCTGCCCCTCACCACTGATTGGTGACAAGGGGCAGGGCCGCACAACAGGCAGCCCCCTTCCCTGCTCACTTCTGTGCCACCAGCCCGCTTTGTGCTGGGCTGCATGGCTGGGAGAACTGCTGGCTCCTACTGGGGAGCCAACATGTTATTTTTAGTAATGTTTTTTTTTCCACATGGATTTCACAGAGATCACCTAATTTCTTGATTGCCATAAATCCGTGAAATTGCAGGTTGAGTAGGTCCCTATATATAATTTACACTTGCCACCTATACTACACAGTGTGTTCACATAGAGTTTTCTGCTCCAAAACTACAGGCATCTACTAGTTGAACTAAAGGAGCATCTCTGTTAACTCTAGTCATTTCGGGACTAATATAGCTTCTGTGGCCAGCCATTAAAGAATGAGGAGATCTCTCACACTCAAGCAGGTCTACCATACCATCCACTAGAAAGCAGTGGTACAAACACTATGTTATCAGTAGTGTAAGTTACACTGTGTGGCACTAGTTACATTATACACCGCAGAGAGGGAGGCATAGGATGGCAGTGTAATATGTTGCCTTGAGTCTACTTTTAACTGTTTGCTTTTAGAAATAAAAAGCTGACTGTAATAGAATGGAACTCTAGTTATTAAATAGCTAGTCTTCATTTAGAACCAATATTTAACAGGCATATAATATAATTATCTTTAGAACTATTCAATAGCCATATTTACATGCAAGAACATGACTGCAAAGGCCTAACATGAAATTTGTACCTCTATAAGATTTCATGCTTTCATGCTGTATTCAGACAACTTATATGCTGGACTACATTTCCAGGATATTGCATGAGATATGCGCTACCATTAACCAGGAAATGAGCGTATGTCTGCATACGCTCTGAAAGTCATGCACAGATTTACACGCATGTCACATGTAAACTGGGTGCAGATGGTTGTTTTAATTTTTACACCATTTTTCTGAAGTTATGTGAAGCCAGGGCATACTTGAACATTAATTTTCATTTTAAAAATGCATTTGGGCAAGTAAGTAAAATATATGTATACTTCAAAACCAATCAACCAGTCTAAACAGTCATCATTTGTTTTAAGTCATCATTATTCTGTTTAATTTCAACTTTAAAAGCAAAGCATACTTCTTGATGCTGAAAAAAGGCTGATGCTGTATATGGGAGGCAGAGAAGGAAGAGCAGGAGAAGGTTTAGAAAGGTTTATACTGCTAACCAGTTTCACAGACCAAGACACACTAGTCCTGATTCACTATTGTTACTTCATTTTAATGCTGATGTAACTCCGTTGATTTAAATGATGTAACACTGGTGAACTGAATATGTTTTCCTTTCTTCAATTGTTGGGGTTTTTTTTAATTCCAGAAGACAGTTTTTTCAGATCCAGAACAGATTTTTTTAAGGCACAGATGCTAATTTGACAAGCACATTTTAAGAACTATGATCCCAATCTTGAGTAACTTTAAGCACATGTGCAGGCCCACTGAATTCAATCCAACTAATCCTGAGCATAAATTATTACAGGATCAGGGCCCTTTAGAGACCTAACCAGCTTTAGATATATTCTATGAGGCTGTCCCTTGTAAATTTCTGCATAAATTCTATATTTTCATGGGTTTTTTTTAATGAGAATTCTCTTATGGAAAGAAAATCATATATGTTTAAATAGTTTAGAATAAGAACTTCAGACACAAACCTAAAAGTTGATTTTTTTTTCCCTTTACTGCTTTGCTTTCCATTTTACCTGCCTTTGCTTCCATCTCCACCAGGGTACCATTTGGGGAAAGGGTTCCCCTTAAATATATTAATGAGGATCTGGGCATTGGTTACTTGTTAAAAGGGTTTCAGAAGTTATCCAGAATGAATCCTAACCATAAGGGTGAGTTCTTGCTGTCATATGCACGTTTGTTATTCCTGGTAGCGTGGGTGCAAAGTTGCATGTTACATATACACTGACCTGACTATGTTTCATGGCAATTAATTTCCAGATTTATCACACTTCTGAAAATATATTTTCAATAGAATAAATATAATAACAATATAAAAAACATTTATTAATCAAATATATTTTTTATAAAAACAAAAGTATAGGTAACCAGGAAAGGAGTAACCAGGAGATTCTTTTGGTGAGGATATTTATTAAAAACTTTATGAACCTTCTCTTGGGTTTTGTGGGTTTCTATGGGTGGCTTTTGTTGCTGTTGCTGTGCAGGATAATTCTTTTTTAGTATCTTGATCAAACTGACATTTCCCCAGGTTTACAAACTGCATATTTGCTCTTGTTCAACCGTGATACTACTTTGCTGTTTCAGCATACAAGACAAGTGCTACTGAATTCTTGTTTTGTTTTTGTTTAGTTTTGTTTTAAAATGTTCAGGTGTTGTCTTCTCACATGTGCATGCATTTCTGTGCAAGCCACAAATGTATATGAAATATTATCAGCAGCTGCCACTAACATAGGTCATTCTTTCTGCAAGTAAAAATTAGCTTCTATTCATCCTCTGGCATTTGGTGTGTTTAAACAGATTTACTAGGCCACTGTACCCACAATGCACAATATGGAGAGACCAAAATTACACATTGAAATGCACAGAATAAAGAGAGTCCAAGAAATGCAAATGAAAGAAAATAAATTAAAAAGAGGTGGCATAGGAAAATGTTACTGACATAGTAATTTATATTCCATATATATAATTTGCATATATATTTTTACCACTGATTTTATTGTCACTACCCTAGACTAACTCCTTTGCCTATGACCAACACAACTTCTGTGAACCATATGAGCCTTAAAATTATGGCTCAAGTGAGATTTGTGTTGTTTAAAACCTGTGCTAGCCCTCTGCAAAGAGATATATTTTGTCCCTAGACCATAACACTGTTGATAGTTCACTTTAAACAAGGTAACCATATAAGCTAAGGCATGTACTGTATTCTGTTGCTGAAACATTTGCATGCATGAGAGCATTAGAGTTACTGAGAAAGAAGAGGCTGTCCTGAAAAGAGAAAAGGAATTGGTGGGAAATGGATTAAATTTGCCTTAACAAGAAGCTGACTTCATTTTTTTCCCCTGAATACTTCTTCCCAATCATAGGCGACACGTGCCTCCTGAGTCTGGGGGGGCACAGTGACCATCCACAGGTGGCGAGAGGGCACTTCTCAGGTGGGGGGAGGGGGGGTGGCACCAGTGCCCCACCTGTCGTCCCCCCCCCGCCCGCCCATTGCCTAAGCCAAGAATGCTCACTTTCGGGGGGGCACCAGCGCTCTCAGGGGGTGCACAGGCACCCCTGTGCACCCCCTATGCATCGCCTATGTTCCCAGTTGCAGGTCAAATGTAGGCTTTGGTCCTAAGTGTTTTGCTATGACATGATATGGACATTTTCAACATAAACTAATCCTGTTCCTGAAAACAGTACATTTAAACCTGAATTAAAAATAAACTAACAATTTTTTGTTGCTCTAGCCAACTCTTCATGTATGGTAGGTGTAGTGGATTTAAAAAGGTATATTTAAAGGTATGGTTCACATGCTAAAGTATCTGGATGGCCATTAACTAAGATCTGTCTGTTTTCCATTGCTTTACATAGTAGACATGATTCTCAGCTCCACTAAGCTCTTGTCAGTAAACCTATAGTTGGGGCCAAATATGGGTCTAATTCAGCCTTCCCCTGATCTTATGCAAGGTAGAATAGGTACGCTGCAGGTTAAAACAATGAAAGGTCAAACAGGTACAGTGCTGCTTTAATCTTCTGCCTGCAGTGGTCCCAGAGATACTATTCTGGCAGCTTGATATTGCTGCAGTACAGCAAACCCCAGCCATAACCTTTCATGGCTCTAGCACACCTTGAAGTATGCCCTGCACGGAGTGGGTAAAAATACACAGCATCTAATTTGGTTATATACCTATTGAGTGCACAAGTGGTCACAAACTGCACACACCACACATACAGGCATTCACTTGCATCATGGTGGGTTTTTTTGACACCGGGGGATCCCAGTGTCAAAAAAAACCATGCCAAAATAAGTGGGGTGGCACATGTGGTGGCAGCATGCGCCACCTGAAACCAGAGCCTGGTTGGCCAGATCGAAGCTCCAGCTGCCAGCCAGGCTTCACATGCCTGGATCACTGCCACTGGAGCTCCAGGTGGCCCCCAGGACCCCAGGTAAGGTTCTGGGACTAGCCCAGGAACTGGCCCCAGCCTCCCCTACCCCACCCAACTTGCTGCACACCAGAGTGTGTGTGTACGGGCATTCCCCAGGGACAAGTAGCAGTGGCACAACTATGTGCTGCTCCTATTTGTCCCTGGGAAAACACATGTATGCATTCATCTGGACATGCCGATTGTGTCTAGCAGGAGTTTCTCTGTGATGGGGAACTTTAAGTCCCCTTTTAGAGCAATTTTAAGTCTTCCTTACGCTGCCAGAGTAGCACAAGAGGGGACTTACTCTGAGCTAATTATGTGATCCAACATCTTCTAGACTCCCTGGAAGGACTGCATTTTATTACTGTGTCTTCTGACAGAATTTCAAAATGGAGTCATTTGCTACAGGTAGTGGTTAGATTCAGTTAAATTGGAGAGTGTTCCTCTCAGTTAACCACATTTCCTCCAGAATATCCTTGTTAATCCTTATTCAGATCTTTCTACTTAAATCAAAGGGGATATAAATGGCTTCTAGCAGACTAATTTATCTTTAGAGGGACCTGCCCTTGTAAAATGACAGGACTAATGTTAAGTGATACAATGTGCATGGAAGCTAGTTGAAAGGAAGACACCTTGGAAGTGAAGTCATTTCCTGCTTCAAAGCCTCTGTTAAATTGAGCTGCTTAGCCTTAATCAGTGCTGGGTGTGTACAACAGTAAGCCAAGAGCAAAGATACTTCTCTGTGAATGCAAAAAGACCAGAATCAAGCTGCAAAAACTTTAGTTGTCTATATTGTGCTCCAAA